GAACAAGGTCGTTGCCGGCCCTGCCACACAGTCACCACCATCTCCTGCCCACCCGGACCCCCGCTGTCTCTCACCAGCACCACCACCTCTTACTCAACTGAACCCTCACCGTCCCTCTCCGTCGCTACCACCACCACCTGCCCAGACGGGTCCTCGGCAATCCTCGCTGCCACCTCCAGCTCCTGCACAGGTACACCAAGTTGGTTCTATGGAAACAATCACTCTCCGTCTGGATCGCCACTCCAAGCAAATCAACCTTCTCTCTGCCCAACTCGACATGTTTGTGAAAACAATTGCGACATTGCAGAAGCAACAACAACTCATTCTGGACACCCTGACCCAACAGGGGCGCACTTTGCAAGCCCTGATGACCCGCCTCCTTCCATCTCCCGAGATGGAGGATCCATCCCTCGCTCTCCCACTCCTCCCTCTCCATTTTTCTCAACAGAATTTGGTACCTCCTCTGGAGCCCTGTCTAGCCCCTCCGACTCATCTCACACCGGAAGCCGTTCCCTCCTCTTCTTACAATATAACATCCAGGGACTTAGACCTCGCCCAGTTTGTGCTTTCCCATCAAGTAGATGTCGCTCTACTTCAGGAAACCATCACAGACGATGTTACTCCACTCCGCCTCTCTGGCTATACTGTTTACACCCTGCCTCGGTACCGTGGGCAGGCTCGTGGCCTCCTCACCCTTGTGCGTAACACCATTCCATCTGTTCGTCTCCCTTCACCTGACTCACATGGACCCCCGTCTGAATTACTTTCTGTCTCCCTTGCTCTTGGTGACCGGACCCTTCGTGTAGTCAATGTTCATTTCAAGAGTGATTCTCTGGACCCCCAGGTTCTTCACGACCTCCATGATGGGATTCCCACTATTGTTCTTGGCGACTTTAATGCCCGCCATCCCACTCTTACTCCGGATCATCCCACGCCATGTACCCTTGACGGATCACATCTCTCACAGTTTCTTAATAGGGATGATGATGTTCGCTTTCTTTGTCCTGACGATCCTACTCGCCTCCCCCATCGTTTCATTGATGTCGGCTTACTATTGAACGGTCATACCTCCTTTCATCCTACCGTCTGCACCGAGCCTGCTCTGTAAGGTGACCATCTTGTTGTTACTACCCATCTCAGGCTCTCCTTCTCTGTCCCGACATCAGCTCCTTATCGATCCCCTCGCCTTCGTCTCACACAAGATGCTGTTCCTTCTTTTACCCAATACCTTTCTACCTGGGCGGATTTCTATGTTGTCCCCCAGTCCCTTGACTCTTACAGCGCTGATTTTGTTGATGCCGTGTATGACTCTGTCAATCGCGCTACCCCTCCACGCCCTCCCCGTCACCCAAGAAGTGCCACCAACTACTGGTATCGTATCCCTGCCATGAGACATCTCCGGCAGGTAACCCGTGATCTCCACTCTGCCATACGGAGGTCTCGGTCTACAGAGGACTGGGAAGACTTCAAAAATTGGTGCTCCTTTGCAACTCAGGAGCGCCGTCGGATACGTGAGGCGGACTGGCTATCCTTCACGGGGTCGCTATCGTTCCAGTCGTCACCCTCTTATGTATGGAATCGGATTAATGCTATACGGCGTACTCGACGGAGGCCTCCTCCCACCCTGACCCCGCCTCCCTTGCCTGCTCTTTAATGGAGGACTGGGCACGAGCTTCCTCTCCTGAGGCACTTCCAGATCCAATGCAGGAGGCAGTGCAGGCCCGCATCGATGCGTCTGAGCCTGTTGTTCGTGCTGCTCTTACCTCCCCTGCCCCAATGATCATCCCATCACACAGTTCGAGCTTGACAGTGCTCGTCGCTCTAGAAAAGACACCTCTCCTGGGGATGATCAGATAACCTACTCCGTCCTCAACGCCTGTACTAATATTCCTAACGGCCCCTTGCTTGCTCTCTACAATATGTCTTATGACCATGGGGTTCTCCCGTCCAACTGGAAAAATGCCACTATTATCCCCATCCCTAAGCCGGGAGATCCTGGGAAATATCGACCCATTAGTCTTACCTCCTGTGTTTGCAAGATGATGGAGAGGATACTCCATCGTCGCCTTCTTCACACCATAGGCGGCTTCCACAACTCCCTCAATGGTTTCATTCAACATCACAGCACAGCACACTCCATTGCTTCCTTTTATTGCAATCAGACTGCCCGCATCTCCGTCTTCCTTGATATCAAGGGAGCCTTTGATACGGCTCAGCCTGCCCTCATTTTAGCTGAACTTGCGCGGTTAGGGGTTTAAGGGAGACTTCTACAATGGATTGCCTCTTACCTCACTGGACGTCAGGCCCGGGTTCGCGTTGAAGGCTCTATGTCTCCTGTTCAAGAAATGAACCTCGGCACCCCTCAAGGTGGAGTCCTGAGTCCCACCTTGTTTAACACTCTCATGCACTCCATTGTATCTCTCCCGTGGCCGACAGAAGTTGTCCACTCAGGATATGCCGACGTTGTCCTCCTCCAAGCCCCTGACTACCTCAGCATGCAGGAAGCTCTTGATCTGGTCTCCAGAGAGTGTGATTCACTTGGTTTCCTTCTTTCAACTGCGAAAACAAAAGCCATGTGGCACGGTCGTGTTGTACCTCCACCCCTTTTCTTATCAGGAACGCCCTTGGACTGGGTTAATGAGACAAAATACCTGGGTGTGTATGTAACTCGCACACGTTGTCAGATCCCTGAAGTCCGCTATCTTCGAGACATATGCTTTCGGCGTCTCGCTCCCCTCTCTACCATGTGCAGGGGTTCCCTTGGTGCCACCATCCCTGTACTTCTCACCATGTACAAGTCCTTTGTCCGTTCCTGTGTCGACTACGCCGCCCCTGCCCTCGTCAAATTAGTCGGACTCCTGTCAACCGTCTCGAAGTTATCCAGAGGAAAGCTGCTCGTATCATCCTTGGGGCTCCTCAGTGGACACGCTCTACTTCTCTATATACCGAACTTGGTCTTTCCCCCTTACAGGATCGTGTCCAGGAGTTTTACCTAAAAACTGCCGTTTCCATTCTACGGGATCCTCGGGGCAACTATGTCCAAACCAACTTGACTCTTGCTGTCCGAGACCGACCTCCATCTAGAAGACAGTGGCGAGGGTCACTCATCCGAGCCCTTCAGGAACACGACCTCCTGCCTGATATTGTTGTCACCCCTGCTGCTGGTTCGTCTCCTTCTCCCTGGCTCGATTTTCAACCTGAAGTAATTGCCCTCGGTGGACCGCTCCCGAAATCCCAGGTGAACCCTGTTATTCTCTGCAAATACTACCTCTCCAGGATCGCCCACTGGTCCCCAGGTAGGGTCGTCCTCTACACTGATGGTTCTGTTGACCCCACTACAGGTAGGGCCGGGGCTGGTGTCTACATCTCCCGTCCTAATACCCCTGAGCCTATCAAACTGTCTCTCAGAGTTTCTGACGGGGCATCCTCCATTCAGGCTGAACTAATAGCCCTCCTTGCTGCCCTTCTCGCTGAGGAAGCAGCAGATGGTTTCTGCCCCTTGCTTGTCTGCTGCGATTCCAGGTCTGCTCTCGACGGGATCGCATTTGGATCAGGGGAAAATATGGACCTCATCCTCCGAATACGAGGGTTAACATCCACACTTCAGGATGCAGGCCGTCCTGTGACATTCCTATGGATACCTAGTCATGTCGGTATCTTGGGGAATGAGGCAGCAGATGACCTTGCCAAGACTGGCTGCAACAAGGCCACACCTGACTACGTTGTTCCTCGAACACTCTTACAGATTAGGACCCAAATTCGCCGCAAACAGAGAGAAGCTCGGGAAGCAGCCATCCCCCTGGACTCCCCGCCCACCTGGTACGATGTCCTTCGTAAACTTCCTGACCTCTCGTACGTCTACGGGAAAGGGTCGCGGAAAGGGGACGTGATTGCTGCCCGTATCATCATTGGGTATGACTTTGCTTGGGAGATTGGTATCCCCGCATCCCCTGAGCAACGCTCTTGTGCGTTATGCAGAAGACCCGACAGCAGCACCCTTATTCACTACCTCCTAAGATGTCCCCACACACAACGCTTCCGTGACGCCTGCTGGACCACCACTCCACGACCCCCTGACGGAGACACGATGATCCTCCCCATATTGGCCTGATATTTTGTAAATAATATTGATTATGTGTTAAAGGAATATCCTTCCTTCCTTAGGCTTTAGTAAGCCCCTTTATAATAATTATACTGTATATACTTGTCACACTTGCCAGATGCTTCTGGTGTCATTGTACAGGAGTACCTAGTGACAGCACTAGGATCCCGCTTCCTCGATCAAGGAATAAACAATTGAAATTGAAATTGAATTGACTGTAAACTTTTATTACAAATTATATATACCGTATCACTCTACGAACGTGGCAGAGTGTATTTCTTGTGTTTTCTCAGAACCAACAACTCGTCCATTGGGAGTTGTTTTCAGATATGTGCATCACAAGTAACAAACCATAAAATGAACCTCTGTGTGTTAGGTTTGTATTGTAGTATAAGATAATTTTTAATGTTAATGTTTTATTTGGGGTTTTTCACTAGAATAGAGGTATTGGTACAGTTATAGTAATCTAATAAATGAATGGTAACAATACAACGCTGGTTATGTTAAAGTGAAACAACAGAACAATAAACAGTCAGGGCTATTATGTCGTAGTGGTAAAATATATGAACACTCGCAATGGTAATTTCTATCAATATACAGTAACTGAGAATAAAAGGTAAGAACATGGAAAATTTATGTGTTGAAAACATTTTGATATACAGTATAGACCAGTAGATGTCTTTTAAGTGATGTATGTCTTCTCTTTCGTGATTTATCTTTTGACTGAATGTATTTGGTTAACTTGTGGTCGTACTTTTCTGAAGAAACTGTAAAGGCTTATCACTCCAGTTAATAACTTTTTTTTGCTACTGCCAGATGATTATATTCAGCTGAGAGAAAACCTTCAGTACAGGGGGTTAATTAACACCATCACTTCAGTATACTTCACAGGTCTTACCAAAGATACAGAAGGCGTCGGCAGCTAACACACACAAGCTCGTCTGGCAGACTTCAGCTACTCTGGAGGACTAGGCCAGCCTCTCCCGTGTAGTGCTTGAGTTAACGCTTGGGACTTTTGTGTTCCTTGTATTATCAGCATTATGATAAGCATTAGTCTGTGATAAGAAAGGGGCCCTAGAGACATGCCTGCCCGTATACTAGGCCTTCGGCACATAAGGAGGCAGCATAGCCGGAACTGCACTAGATCGCCTTGACTTCCCCAAGTGTAAACTTAGGTACCGATTTACAGCTGGGAAATTGGTAGTGCCCGGGAATGAAATCACCGACCCATGGAACAGCATGCAAGTACTGTAACCACTTATCTGCCGCGCTCCCACTCGACTCGCGTTCCTTAAAAGAAATATAGGTGTTTTTTTTTAATTTGTTGTTGTTCGACCTTTATACAAGGCTTTGATTTTATCGGATTTTACTGCATTTAACCTCATCACTTCGTTTACCATCAGTGTGAAAAAAGTTACCTCGGTTTACGCACACACACATTATAAATTAGAATCATCAACATTTTAACCCCCAATATTCGCCCAGTACAAGAGCTATTAAAGACGTGTTGTGTCGAGCAGAACCTGATGGATTTTTTTATATATGATAAGATAATGATAACCCCGAAATCAGTCGGCGAGTCTCATAACATAATAAACCTTCTTTTTGCGAATCTAGGACCATCTTTTTATCAACTTGAAATCATTGAGTGTACCCAGTAAGGCGATAAAAGTTCACTCATATGACTAAACATTCAGGTGTATTTTGTCGTTGTATGGATCTCGTCGCCCCAAGTCTGTGGTAAGCTCAATCATGAGACCAGTATCTTAGTCGATTCTAACCTGTTGTGTAGCAAAGAAGCTTATCCTATTCTAAAAATCATTGAATTTATTTCAAATAAGTTAGCTAAGGTTGAGTAATGGTTACGTTGAATTTCATCGGTATCTTCTGTTGGTTCGTAATAGTCTGTATGATACATCATTATGCAGTCTTCCCTTTAGTTATTTATTTTTATATCAGCAACACTCAATCATCAATTCTTAAATTTTGTCTTTGATTATCATGAAACTGTGTAGGTATATTCCGTTGTACAGTATACCATTACTTATTTTTTTTTTTTTTACATGGATTAGCCCACCCAGGCACAGGTCACTGACCCACATCGGGACCTAGGGGACGAAAATGTAATAATGATAATAATAAAAATAAAGAACCATAAAGAAATACAAGTGAAAATCAAAAGTGAGAAACAATATATGTATGTTGTGTTGTCAATATTAAGAGAAACAATTGAGACCCTGCAATTGTGTGTAAATGAGGCAGAAAGTCAGTTGAGCAACCTGGGACTTGGTCACAACTTTCGTGAAGCCATGTGGCAGCAGGGTCTACCATAGACAACACGTTATGCTTTCAATATCTTCCCAGGCGGTACTACTTCCCTGTTTGATAGCTGCCTAATACCTACTACCTGACTTTTATACCTCTCCGTAAAGTTTGGACAGCGACTATTATCATCATCTGTGCTGTTGGTCTGTTGTGCTCTGTTTATTCACCCCAAACCAGGCAGTATAACTAACCATGCAATTTTGGAGAGATTAATTGGCGTTTGGGCAGACCATCATCATTAATACTTGAGAAGGCTTTTGTGTCTCCAAGTATAACTGTTGTTGGGCAATGTTTATATTTAGATCTACTTTTTCGGGGCCAGGCAAAGATTAATTGCTGGAAAAAGGCATCATCACTATTTGATGTTCAATTCAACATTTAGTCCTCAAGCGAGGTTAACTGGTGACACAGAATACCTTCAACAGAGTTTATTATGAGTTTATTTCACGGGGTAAGGGTTGACGGAACTTGGCTGTAGACGATATCTGTATGTCAGTGTGAGTGTATTAAACAAGTCAATTATCTATCACTGCAAAATGGATAAATTTTCTCATATTAAAGACTAACCCTGAATATGAAATATTTCAGGGCTTTAAAAGTTGACAATACATTTGTTGTGAACCAGAATCATAATACAGTATATACATCTCGGTTACACACACACACACACACACACACACACAGGTTTGTTAATGGCACCTTGGAGATGCACTCTTTCCACCACCTTCCTTATTTAACCATCCATATTATATGAGCCCACTATTATTTTTCTGTATATCACTACTTAATATTTTACCTGGTGGTTAAATTTTCTATCTATTACAGCCAAGAAAGTTAACGTTACCCACTAAACTCTTTATTAGCATCAAAAGAAAATACATTTCATTGACGAGTGACGCACACGAGGGCGAAGTCTGACAGAGTGTCTGAACCTGTGTGCCAGGTATCACCCAACATTTTTCTGTAGATTGAAGCTCAATTTATAAATTTCTTTATTTTTTCCATGCGTCGTTTGGCGCTCCCAATGGATAGATGACGCCCTTAACATTCGCCTATACGGCCTATACCTTGGGCCAGCCTAGGTCAGTTTCCTCCACACTGTCTTCTGCATGCTGTATACGCACTGCCTATGGGACCCGCTGTTACTGTATGTGTTTCTAAAAATTGTTTACTAATGCCAGTGTTCTCTGTTATGTTATTTACTTTTGTCTGTTTTTGAGTCATAATTATTAGTACTATTGTTATTTCCTCAGACGTGAACGAATGCACTAAACAAACCCACAACTGACATGGCCATGCCAAATGCCAACACACACACGGAAGATTCACACGTTACTATGATACACTCATTGATGCGGTGGTATGAATTTATTGTAATAAAAAGTACAATATATGAATTGTGTGTTACTGTAATCCAATAATTATTGTATGGAAATTATAAATAAGAAACAAGTACATTAACGCTTAAGTAATCACATAATAACCCTGGGTATGGGATTTGTCTTTACAATACAGATACATATAGGTAAGTATACTAAAGTTAGAACACTTGAATTATAATATATTATGGAGTTTATGTAATATAGCATCAATTATACTAGAAAATTTTAAAGATATAATTTTAGTATTAGTTTACTTTAATTACATCCTTTGTCATCTATGGGTTTACTATGTTTTCAGTAGCATGATGACTAATAGTATGAGTCAACACCAACAACACAAATTATGATAAAAATATATCCTCAGGTCAAGTTTACTTATGCAAAGTGAACTAGAACATCGACATAGTGTCAACTCTTTGTATCTAACTCACTCTATTAACTGACATAATTCGTCTGTATAATTTTCCACTACACTCACTCTTGTAAATTTAAACATGATACTTCCCCATCAAACTTACATAAATAATCCCAGGTCGTAATAACACCAACCAAACATCAACTAACCTAACCTAAGACTCTTGGTGACTTGGCTGCTTTAAACCTGTTCTCCAGTCTTAGTGCTTACAATGGGCAAGTTGTAAACAGTCTAGTGAAAGGCAAAAAAATAAAGAAATTATAGAACAAACTAAAGAAAGGATGGAACAAACTAAAGAAAGGATGAAACAAACTAAAGAAAGGATGAATCAAAGTAAAGAAAGGATGGAACAAACTAAAGAAAGGATAGAACAAACTAAAGAAAGGATGAAACAAACTAAAGAAAGGATGGAACAAACTAAGGACAGGATGGATCAAAGTAAAGAAAGGATGGAACAAACTAAACATAAGAACATAAGAAAATTAGGATTCTGCAATAGGCCGGTTGGCCTGTGCATGGCAGCTCCTGTCGAGAGTTACTACCACTCTCTATCATCCATGAATCTATCTAGCCTCCTTATGAAACTTTCCAGAGTTCCAGCACTTAGTACAAAGTTGCTAAGCTTGTTCCACTCGTCCACCACCCTATTTGTGAACCAGTTTCTTCCTATCTCCCTCCTAAACCTAAACTTATCCAAACTAAAGAGAGGATGGAACAAACGAAGCAAAGGATGGGACAAACTAAAGAAAGGATGGAACAAACTAAAGAAAGGATGGAACAAATTAAAAAAGGATTGCACAAACTAAAGAAAGGATGGAACAAAGTAAAGAACGGATGAAGCAAACTAAAGAAAGGATGGAACAAATTAAAGAAAGGATGGAACAAACTAAAGAAAAGATGGACCAAACTAAAGAAAGGATGGATGAAACAAAAGAAAGGATGGGACAAACTAATGAAAGGATGAAACAAAGTAAAGAAATGATGGAACAAATTAAAAAAGGATTGCACAAACTAAAGAAAGGATGGAACAAACTAAAGAAAGGACGGAAGAAGCTATGAACAGAAAAGCATTAACCGTAAAGGTAAATCTACTCCTGTCCCCCTGAACCTGTCTGTCGCGCGCACTAGGGTTCAGGCTGGCTGGCTTGTTGAACTCTCTTTCTCTCATAATAAATAACAGAGATATAAGACAATAGAGGGTATACTTCTTACAGTCAATAACACCTGGTAATGTTGGGTAGAACAGGGCTTCGCATCATGCATTTTGGAGGCATTATTCACTAACTTCGTCGAGGATGGTGAAGATCATGTTGACCAGCCTCTCTGCTGTGTCGTGCGTTATGTAGTTGGAGGCGTAAGAAAGCGTGTAGAACAGCCGACCACGGAATGTGTGAGTAGAGTGAAAACACATAACTGACGAGCTGTGCATTTCACTAACATTATATATGCCTGTGACACGGACACTGTGAGTATCACCACCAACCATGGCAGACACATCTCCCATGTTGGTAAGGAGGTAGTCGCTTGTCAAGGGTGGAGGAGTCCTGAAGTAAGTAGTCGGGTCGATGGGCGGCAGCGTCATCCTCCGCACCACACTCTGTACCAGCGACGCCTCTGAAGTAAGGAGAGTTTTCAGGTCACTGCCAATTATTTTAGCAAAGTTCCAGAAACTGTCCTTCACATTTCGATTAACATTGACAAGTTGCGTGGTGTGGTACACGTGTACCCCAAGTATTGGTGAAGGGCGCTTTGCCATGTATCGCCGCAGGCTGGTATTATTGGAGACACTGATATTGAAGTCTTCATCATGGATTCCCGCCTCCTTCAGTAGTTCGACTATAGCGGTGTTTACAGTAGCCTGCAAGGCAGTGTTAATGGTTACACCGTGTTGCTTACACCGGAGGTAGATCTTGTGGAACCTTTCTGGCTGAATCTCGCGGTGAAGAAAGTGACTGGTCGGGTTAGGTCCCCCAGGCGCAGGATAACCTCTTAATATTTCAGGCGATTTGGTGCATGCTAGAACTTCTTGTTTCAACTCCCTCAATCGTCCTTGATCATTGTTCAACATCTTCTCAATCAGCAGTTCTTTTTCTGTGATCTCCTGGTGTGAAACAAATACTCCTATTTGTTTGGTATTGTCAACACTCTGGCCACGCAAAACACTGTCAAGTACTTCCACAAACGCCTGTAACATGTAGGCCAAACTGGTACCGTCCATGATGGAGTGGTGCACGAAAAAGATGATGGCGTATTGATGGGGGAAGTCTTTGTTATACTCGGGGAAGGCGCAGGAGGCGTCCGTCACCCCAGGGATCATCCGAACTTTCATCAAGGGGGCATCCTCTGTCCCCAAGCCTTCTTTGCTGAGCTTTTGAAACTCTTCTGAAGGGTTGGCTCCTTCCTCTAAAACCTATTAAAATATAAATTGAATTTCATTATCATTAAGATTAAATTTCTTACCCGCGTTATATTTTGCACCTATAATAGGGAATAAAAATGCAACCATGTTGGATTTTTAACTTTAGAAAATGTATTTATTCAAATATTGCTAAAACCACCCGAGCATAAGTTATGGCAAATTAATTCCCGGGGATCAACCTGGCTATTTAACCACGTAGATGATGTGTAATTAATTCTAAGTAAATTTACACCAATAACTTGGGTACCCTTCATTGTTTGTTGATCGTTGTTTTAAAAGGGCTAAAAATCCTTTTATTGTTCTTAATCGAGGCAAGTTCCTACATTTAAGAGTATTTTGACTCTACCTTATTACATTGAATTTGTCCCGTTAGTTTTGCCCCTTAAATTATTAAATATTAATGTTGTTTTTAAGTATGACTCAACTATTACTAATATATTAATTAAGAATAGCCCAACCTTGAATGTAAATGGAAGTGTTTACTGTATTCCATGTAGCAAATGTAATGGAAATTATGTAGGTCAGACTGGGAAAGCATTACAACCCAGAATTAAACAACACAAGTACAATATTAGAACAGCATCTGAAAACAGGGCACTGTTCGTTCATATAAGGAACAATGATCATCCCACAGATTGGGAAAACAGTTTAGAAGTGTATAAATCATCACGTGTCACAGAAAGACTTCTAGATGAAGCAAGTTTGATGAGATAAATGTATTCTTTAAACCTTAGTAATGGTCAGTACAAAACTGATAATATGTTGCACATATATATTTGTTAGTGACCCAAGGTTAAAATTGATTTGAAAGCAAGTAAGGTAGATGTATGATAGGTGATTAGTGGGTCTCATATTTTTTACCAGACGTGACATGACTAGTTATGTCGCCCGTTCTTATAATCTCTTCTTATGTTTGCTGTGTGGTTGGTGTGTGGATTAGTGGATGCCATGTTTTTTGACCTGATCTCATGTATTGTAAGGTCACCCTGTTTACATAAGCTCTCTCTCAGTCTTTGTAATTCAGTTTCCTCTGAAGATGTCTTGAATAAAGACGAAAGCTAAGGTTCTCCATTGTTTCCCTTTTCCGTGTGTGATTTTATCAAGATTTATCTTATCCACGTTTCCATATATATATATATATATATATATATATATATATATATATATATATATATATATATATATATATATATATATATATATATAAGTAAGTAAGTCTAAGCACTATAAACCCGAGGTGAGGTCTCATGCTAACTCATAGGTTTGTGATCGTTAGGGTTGTAGCTGTCTTAAACACTAGACTCCAGTCCTAATGATCATGTTTGGTTATGGTCCTTTAGGGTTGAGACCCACTTGATCAGTCACCTTTAATATTTACCTGAAAATCTAAGTTGATGTGTTCGTCTTCGTAGTACCAGGGTTGTCCGCCTCGTGGCTTTATGTTCACCCTCAGGATGGGTATCTTCCTGGTGGGGGTGAGAGAGAACTCTTACTTACTGTTACTGTATATTATGGCTATGATATGATGACTACAGTTAGGTCAGTGGCAGAGCAATATTATTATGAAATGATTCAAGTAAGAACATAAAAATACTACTTTATACACACAATAATGATCCAAGGAGCGTCAAGGTGAATGATGTCTGTTACTACTTAAGTTCCCAAGTGTTCTGATAGAAACCTCTGCTTCCGTCTGAGTTAGGAATGACAATCATCTATTTCCTACCCTCCTCCTACAGGATATAACTATTCCAGCCATTAGTGCCATTAGGTCAAAATATAACCTATTCTATGATTAGAGACAACCGAATGCTGTGGCTGTGAATTGTAAGGGAATTCCTGTGAGTTTAGGTGATGTGAATAATTAAGTGAAGATGGTGATTTTCTCATGTATAATTATGGTAATGGTAATCTGACCGGGATGACAGCGTGTACCAGTACTTTTCACATTTGTGCGTCGAAGTGAAGCGTACATTCATCATCTCGAACAACTCAGGTGGAGATAGTTGACAGAGAGGAGCGTAAGTTTGGCCAGAAACTGTTATCTTCATCAAAGATTGACGGGGTGTTCGCTCTTGCTCATTAAGATCTATAATATGACTGGTGGCTTCTTTAGGTCTGAACGACATGGGTTAATGGTTAGTTAACGTGATTGGGGAAGCTGATCTTTGGTAAGATGATCATTAACTGTCAACCAACTGTCCTGTACGTCTATTTATGTGTGTGAATGACTCTCTTAAGTGGCCAAGGTGGTTAAAGGTCATGGAGGTAAGTGGAGACATGCATATAACGTGAAGGACACTTAATTAATAAGCTCTTATCGTAATTCTTACTGCCACACTGAAGGCATCTCGACGTTAAGGGGGACACGGCCTGTACGCTCCATGATAATAAGCCCTTTGTCAATATTGTACATGCTACGTTGTTAAATAGACTGTATAAAAATTTCAATAGTTTTTCGATTATTCAAAAGCAACAAATACTCACTTGCAGAGATGAAAGAGGGTATCGATCATGTTCTGGTGGTGGATAGGTCGTGCCGTGATTATGTTGTTCAACATACTAGAGTGTTTTACGCCCACCTTGTGTGCCTCGAAGTACAGGCGAGAATTGAGGTTTAGCAGCCCCAACCATCTGGCCTTCTCGCTCAGCTCCCTCACATCCACGCTGATTATGTTAGTAAGTTGTGTATAATTCGTTAGCACAAACAAATACACACATAAACACATAAAATATACACAAAGAACATACACAAACACACACAGACAAAATAAATGCAAACCCACACACAAAGTCACTCATACAAACACGCAAACACCTAAAGAATCACACACACACACACACTACTATAACTACTTGGCTGTCACTCGGAATCGAGCTCTGAGGTAACTCGAAAGGTCGATAAAGGACAGGCAGGGCCGTCCACATGTGTTGCACGTGTGGAGGGCTACATCTAGTGCTGGAGGGGCGGCGGCAGCGCTTGTGTGCCTCGATATGCAGTCGGGTTGACTCGAAACTATTGACACGCTTCTCCTGTGGTGCTCTTCCAAGCGTTTCGGTGTGGCGTGATCGTCTACCAGGTGAGGGGGTCGAGTTGGTACTTTTTCAGGTTTGTCTTAAGATTATCCTTATACCTTTTCCGCTGTCCATCAGCGTTACATGTACCATTCGTTAGGTGACTATATAGCAGTTGCTTTGGCAGTTTATTGTAGTCCATGCGGGAAACATGGCCAGTCCAGCGTAGTTGTTCATGGATAATGGCAGTCTCGACGCTCCTTCAGTTGGTGTCAGCGAGAATGCTGGCGTTGGTACTCTTGTCTTACCAGCAAACCTGGTGAATAGAACGTAGACTACGTTGGTAAGAGTTTTCAGTGTCTTGAGGTACCTCCTGTATGAGACCCATGTTCGCTGCCATATAACAGAGTGGGGAGGACCACTGCTCGATATACGCGCATAATTTCAGCTTCCTACAACTGAAGACACGGGCACAGAGTCTGCCAAAGGCTTGAGATGCACAGGCTGGCTGGAAGAGAATCACACACACACACAGACACACACATACACACTGTACACAACGCAACTCTGTACATGTAATTCATTGACTCGCTTCTTATTAAATGATTTTATCATTCATATTCAACTTTTTCATCGACGCTGCACTTGACACTTCCACTCGCGTTGTCCAACATGAAGGCATGTCCCCTGAACATAGTAAACACTAAACAAGATTATGCACCATAATATAATAATATAATCAAAATATGAACAGCATCACAAGGATAAAGTTCGATATATTTTACCTTCGGTAGTATATGATTTATGTGTATATGATGGTTGTGTTTCGTTATATTTTCAAAACTCACCATAAACCTAATACACATGGAAAGACTCTTCACCTGAAGGTTGTGCTGTACCCTTAAGTCTCCTTACCTTGATAATGATGTAGAAGTGGGCGGGAAGGACGGGATACTGTTATACGAGCCTAATGTCCTCGCCAAGTAGAAAGACCTCCGCGTAGATGGTGGAGGAGTGCTTGATGCCACCCCCCACACTCTCACCGCTGGTCTCATAATTGTAAACATTTTTTATCTCACACTGTCAGGGAATAAAAACTAATTACTATTGTTACGCGGATCTGGACCACGTTCTACAGCCCGTAATAGATTTGGGTACATGAATGGAAACGGAAGAATTAAATAATAGATGAAAGGAAATTTTATGAACTAAAAGCAAACCTACGCGAGAGTTCCAGCTGACCAAACCCAAAAATCCCCTCCAAATAGACAAACAACCCAACCCAACAACTCAAAAAACAAATAAATAAATAAATAAATAATACAAAATAAAATCCTAACTCTCCTCTTAACCTCCACTCCAAATTTGACAAAAAAGCTCAAAATCTTTCTTCTACTCTCATCTAAAAGCCTCTCCAATGATAAGCTCATCCTTCCATGCTATGAGTACTTCGACATTTTAAGATCAAAGACTCAAAAATCTTCCTTCATCTCGCTCCGTTCATCTTTGACAAAGCTCAAAGACTTTACCTTCACCTTTCCCCAAAACAACCCCACAACTAACCCACCTTTACGTGCAGTTTTCTTTTGGTTTTGCGCGCCCCCCTGTTCGCTTTTTGGGTTCGCGCTGCACCCGCGGCGATGACGGTCTTCCAAACAGTGATACAGTCCGTTGACCGACTTGACCGATGCCTGGAGCCACTTATCTCCTGGTCACCGCCCCCTGCCGCTGAGTCCGAGCGTGGTGTAGCTCCCTTTACCAATCACGGCACTGCCTCATTGCCCACACGCAAGCTGGGTTAAGCCACGGCACCTTTTTTCTCTCACTAAAATTCCCTTCCATCATCCCCTTTAAACTTCCACTGAACCTCCTTCCCCCGTCACTAGCCTTTATTGATTGATTGAATAAACGAGTTGTCGGTTAGAAATTTTTCGTAAGATGGCAGGTCAATGGGTTTAGAAGACGCTTAAATTTACTATGGTAACGATATTCTTAAATAAATTGGGCAAAAAGTGCAAAAAATAAAGGTTAAAGTAGCTAAAAAATCACGTGACTGCGAAAGGCTCTGTGACTGGTTGTGATGTCACTGGTTTGTTCGAGCCGCCGAGCGGGAACCTCGAGGAAGCCAGCTGTGGTGTGTGTTGTTATCAGCAGAAATACAGGATTTATGGCCATATACAATGTTGATATACACAGGCATACCTTAATTTTAGGTTAAAATAAACTACTGCTCAAGTATCATCGTGTGTATTTACTTGCTGGGTGCCAAACTGATGCAGAAGACCGATAACTCCAACATGGAAGTTTTCATCACTGTTCTCTATTTCATGTCACTAGGGACGACCATGGCCAGGGGATGGGCTTGAGATGATCAAATGACAAATTTTATTTAACGTGCTTCATAGCTGGATGGCGGAGTTCTTGATAATAGTCTCGAATCATAAAGACATCTACTTTTGGTAATTTCTGTCATCTGCCTTCATGAGCCCTGAAAGTAGTTGTCCAACCTTCTCGGCTGATCGGCTCTGTAAATAAATATTATGAGTTAATTAATTGTGCTTTACTGTGCAACACAGTAATGCCATGTTGAATATGATATATTACTACTAAGCACATTAACTAATTCAATGGATATTAGCTGCCCCTGCTACAAATTTCATAGTATAAACATTCCAAACAATATTGGTATTAGTTTGGTTTTGGTCATCTGGGGAGCCTTAAGATTTTGACTATGGGATTAAGTTCGTTAAGCAATAAGATACATTATCTCTACGGGATTTGTGTAGCAGAACATTTTTAGATCGCATAAGTAAATACACGTCATATGTCAGG